ATGGAGTCGCCACCAATGTTTTACTCAAAACATTGGAAAAAGAAAAGATTTTTAAAAGATCCAATAATGGCCTTGATAACCAGAATTGGGTTCGGGGGTCGGTTACGTGTAAGGAAGGTATTAAGCACCCTTACAACGCCCTAAATCGGTACCCTATGATGAAAATAACGTAATAAGAATTAATAGATTAAATATTAAATCCCCTTTAATAATGTTCTTTTGAAAACCTTTTCTTCTTCCAATATTTTTGAGTAAAACATTGGTGGCGACTCCATGAATCCATTTTTCAAAACCATTAATTAAAGATTAGTCTGGTGTCCGTGCATTCCTTAATTGATGAGATTTTCAAAAGGATGTCTAAACCATAGGTCGTGAGATCAGAAATTTTCAGGTTGCGACAGATGGCGACTACTGTCGCAACTCGAAATTTCCGATCATGCGACCTATGATTTAGACATCCTTTTAAAAGTCTCATTAATTAAGGAATGCCCGGACACCAGACTAATCCTTAATTAATGGTTTTGAAAATAGGTTCATGAAGTCGCCACCAATATTTTACTCAAAATATTGGAAAAAGAAAAGGTTTTTAAAGATCCAATAATGGCCTTGATAACCAAAATTGGGTTCGGGGGTCAATTATGCTCGTCAACACAGAAACGAGTAAAAAGCTTAATGTACCCGCTAGTGCTAACTCTTTCTCCCGAGAAACCAACTAGAGGGTCATCATATGGAACGAGCTCCTTTTCCAAGATGCCCAACTGCTTGAAGGTGTTCTAGTATAGAATGTCGGCCGAACTACCCTGATCCACCAACGTTTTCTTCACTATGCAGTTGTGGATTTCAACACTAATTACCATTGGATCATCTTTCACGGGGTCAATTCCTTGAAAATCAGCATCAGTGCCTGTTCTAGCTGGTAACCTCCGAACGGGTTGTCTGGCGACCGAATTGACCGAACGAACGGCGCGCAAATGCCTCTTTTGTGCCGAAGAAGTTGAGCCTCCACCAGCAAAGCCCCCGGCAATGGTGTTGATGACTCGCCTATGGGAAGCTGTAGGCTCATCTTTCCTTTCGTGTGACCGGCTTCGGTCGTGGCGAGGTCTATCAGTTCGGTCTTGTCGAGGTCGGTCGTGTCTAGGTTGATACTGGCGCGATCGATGCGAATCGGGCCGATCAACGAAATTATGAAGCTGGCCCTACTTGATTAAATCCTCGATTCTGTCTCGGAGGGCCGCGCACTCCTCGGTAGAGTGCCCCCTATTGCGATGATACCGACAAGATTTGCTAGTATCGGCGCGCGGTGGCGTGGCAGCTCTTTTTGGGACGGCCAACACCTCTGATGCCAGAGCTTGTTCAAGCACTGCAGCTCGGCTTGCATTGAGGGGAGTATAATGAGTGTATTTCGGACCCCGCGTTGGTCGGTCACGAAGAGTTATCTCTTTGTTTCACCCCCGATAGGATGGTTCTACTGGCTTGTCGGTTCCGATTTTGGAACAGCCCGTTCCGGGCTACTAAAAACACCCTATTTGGCCTTTAGGCCTTCTGATGTCCTGTCTTGTTATTTGCCTGCTTCGGAAGCTCTTTTCCTTCATAATGGAGGTCCATTTCTTTGTTTGTGTGCCCCCCGGACGAAATTGGGTGTCTACAACTACACTAGGGAAGTTTTAAGAGGGTCAGACCTAAATAAATGATGAAGTTAATAAAATTTGAATAATAATTTAAATATTTTCCCCCTTTGCCTTGTTTGTTTTCTTTGTTTGGCTTTGATATCTGTTTGCTTGTTTAAATTCTGCACATGCTTGAATTAACAACTGGACACAAACCATAGCACATAATAGTCCCCCTACACCCAGGGGCATGAGGGTATTAAACATAGGGAGTGGTTGACGTACGACCGGCCAAAGTTTGGCCTTGGAGCCTGCGAGCCTTGTCAGAAATCACACTCAAGGTGACAACCAGTTACTGTAGTCCAAAATACTGCGACAGATCTTAGAGTTTGCCAGGTGAAGGCGATAGAGATACTGGGTCCTTATAATGGGGGCACCTTAGGGGCTTTAAGACAATTGAGATTAGAACTATCCTATACAATGCACTTTTCTTAACAGGGACCATAGATCAAGGATTTGAACATGATCGTTCGTGGGTGTACGTTGATTGAGCATGTGTGTGCGCATTTGTTTGTATTATTTTTTTTCTTCTAATAAGATGGATTGGAATTTTAAAATAAGAAAACAGATAATAAAGATAAAAAAAAATAAAAATTTTATACCTCTTTGTACATTCTTAGGTCATCATTCCATTAACATCATATAGGTAGTTAGTTGCCTTTTTAAAAAAAAAATGAATAAAAGAAATCTCATCTCCATGCATCGTTCCCTTTAGATAATAGAAACATGATAAAGATTAGGCAAAAAAAAATGACAAGCATTCTAGATTAGCTCATTAATTTCATTCATTTTATTTTATTAGCTAAGGAGGATTAGGTTGCAGTACGTACTTACTCATTTAAATCCCCAAGGTCAAACCTCCAGCTACAAATAATTCAAACTTTATCTTCTATGGCCATAGAACAATATTTATCTTCATAAATACGTGAAGAAATAACAACAAAACGAGTCCAAGATATCACAACTATAACATAGTTGATTATAAATATATTTACAATAAATATATCTATGTAAAAAGAATATATTAAGAATACCAATGATATAAATAAAAATGACAATCATTATAAAATAATTAAACAATATAAAAGATGAACACCTTAATAATTATTATGGATAAAAATAATCATAGGTTAAGCAAATAAATGAGGTTAGGGACACCCCACTAAATAAATACACATAAAAAATAACATAAATATATAGATATAGTAATATATAAAATTTTAAAGAGATAAAGTTATCCTTCCCCTTACCTTAGAATGTAGACTTAACAAGAATTAACTGCGTCAAAATTTAACTATCCTCTTCCTATTCACTATTCTCTCTCTCTTTCTCTCTTTCTCTCTTTCTTTCTCTCTTTCTCTCTTTCTCTCTTCTCTTCCTTTTTATTTCTCACTCTCCGTGAGCTATATAATTTATAATAAATTTTAATTATATATAATAAACATATTTATATATTATGTATAATAAAATATTATTATATTTCTAGTTTGACAGACCACCACTTTACCTCTTCGAGGCAGAAGATAACAAAAACCAGGATACTTTACATAGTAAATTAACATTCAGAGTTTATAAGTATGTTATTTAAAATTTAAAGATAAATATTTTTAAAAAATAATTCTTAAAAATAAATTAAAATTATTTTTTAGAAAAGTAAAAATATGTTTATTTTAACAAAATTAGACGGTTATGTTAAAAAGTAAAAATTTTTACTTTTTTATTTAAAAAAAGTTTATGATAAAAAAATTTAAAACAAACATACTCATACTAGATTTGCTGCCTATCTCATACATATATATGTGCAGTTAATTCAGAGCTTGTCATTGCCATGGAAGACTATGCTGACTTTGTAGCAAAAGTTGTCAGCTTATATAAATACACAGAGTACTATAAGGGAGTTGAGACAAAGTTGTGTAATGGGTTGGAGGTACAATGCTGGGTTGGGACTGATTGGAGCTTTTGTCTTAATATGGGTCAGCTCTGCAGAAATAACTCAGGTTTCGGTTTTTTTTTTTTTTTTCCTTTTTTTTTTTTTTTTTTTCATTCTTACCCTCCCTTAATTGTTTGTTATTTTGTTTATGTTATGCTACTTTGCTTGTGTTTTGAGGATGTTGTTCTTCTATGTGGTTTCTAAATTCTAAGACTAGTTAGGAAAAGAAAATCTGAACTGCATGTCTGTCCCTTCAGAGACATCTATCTTATTCATATAATTGTTAAGTTTTTAAGAAAATGATACCACTTCCTTCAAAATTTGTATTTAGCTACCTAAATCATTGCTATTTTTGTTGCAAGCAATATGAACCTAGAAATATGCAAACCCCCCCACCCCCC